AGATGCAACATATAATTTTATTATCTCTGACTTAAGTTTGTTTAATCAAAGAGAGAGAAATTCAGCATTTGCAAAGTGTTGGATATCTGAAATAGCAGACACACACACATTTAATGAAAACCCATTATGCCATCTTCCTCCTCCATATTTGTATTCCCTCACCCTGAAATCACCCTACTCAGATTCCCGAACAGGCATCTGAGTTGGATGCCTGTTCGGGTGTTTCAGGCAAGTCATGCTGGGAGGTGGCCGGGATAGACCCAGGGCACTTTGAGGGATTATATCTTTTGGCTTGTCTTGGAGCCTTCTCAGCTTCCCTGCAGAAGAACTGGAGCAATTGGCCACTTGAAGGGAAAACTGGGCATCTCTGCTTAGACTGTTGCCCCCACAAACTGGACCCAGATACATGACAGAGGATGTATGTAGGTACCGATGGATGGAGTTACATATGACATAAAATACATAAAAATATGAGATGAGTGCAGAGGAGCTAAAGCTAAGGGGGAATATCATCTAATAAAAATCTGTTCCGCATCCAGCTCTCAATTCTCAGCCAATATCAAGATCCTGTGAGGGAAACACTGTAAGGCCACAATAGTTTGCCACAGATATTTTCAATATTTATTTATTTTATTTTTTTACATAGGTTGTTTTTGAATGAGAAAAGGTTATATATAAGGTTGTGCCCTGAGTCTGTGTAACAGCTTCTGAATGAGAGACTTCAGCTGGCCCGCAGTCTTATTGGCCCGTGGCTCAATATGAAGTCGAGGAGGAGCCAACATCAAAGCCATGTGAAGTGAGACTGTGGATCATAGTGTTTGTTTGTGTTTCACTGCCACAAAAGATAACGTCACTTTTGGTGTCAACTCATGCTGCCAGCAGTGCACACAGCTAAAAGGTCAAACAGAGTAAGCCAGGTTAACTTTAACAGAATTATATCTTCCTGCAATGTCTGTAAATATTCTATAGCACCTGCTAAATTTATTAGTTTATCACTATTGCTGGATCACTGCATCCCTGACATTCTAAAAGCCAGTGCCTGTGAATGAGAAAAACGTTTTTTTAACAAAGATATTAGGATTTTTAAATTCAAAACAAATAGATGGGAGCTGATGGGAGCTCACGACCCAAGGTTAGAGGGGTGGCCTTGCAATCATTCCCTCTAGCAAATTCTACATTTCCTCACAATCAAGCAGGTACCTCTAGATTTGTTGCTTTCTTGTGTTGCCCCTTTGTGCTGTCACTCCATTTGCTATCCTGTGACTCGCATGTATGTGTGTGTGTACCCAGCTCTATTAAATCAAATATATCAGGCCAGGTCATTATCAATTCTCAGGACAATTTCTCAAACTCGCCCTACTCCATCATCAGAAGCCACCAAGGTCACAGGACCGGACGCCGCATGCTTCTCATGTTACACACGAGCCTGGCTGACATGGTGGCGAGATAGGCTTCCTCTTGGTAATTATCATATCACCTTTCCACCAGCAGATATATGGAGCTTTGATAATGTACCATTAATGGGAAATGCATATGAGGGGAGCGATCGATGGACAAATGACCCATAATGAGGTACAGAACACTCTGCACTAAACTTTGACTTTTACACAAACCAAACGACTCTGATAACACAAGCCGACTGGGGTTGTGTTACTGATCCATGTGCGCTTAAAATGTACTTTATACATCAAACCCTCAGAAAGAAAGAACAATTAGAAGTTAATATGGCGTGCTTCATATCATATTCAGCAGTGGGCTGATGAAAACAAAAAAAGATTCAATAATGTGGTAAATAAATGGTTTGATAATATAAAAATTAATATTTCATTAGGTGAATTAGGTGAGGAAAAGTTTTTTTGTTTTAAGCTTCTTCTCTGTTGAAGCTCAGTCAATTCAATCCTACAGTTACAGTCTGTTTAAGAACATTAACAAATGCCTTGAGCTTCCTCTAATAGTATCACATGTAGATTTACTGATTTTAACTACTTCATTCCTATTGCTAAATCTTCATTGAGGGTCTTTTTTTAATCAACTTATAAGCAGATAATCATGCACTGATAACAAGGTTTCCTACGATTCTCAAAGTCCCCCATTTGCAGTAAGCACTATATGAATGAATGAGTTAACAAAAATTAGAGCTACTGTAGTTTTGCATGCATCTCCTCATCCAACCCTCCATCCTCAGCTGTTTCTCGACCTGCTGTCCGTCTTCCCCAGTCTGTCAATTAAAATGTCTCCAATTCCTCAGCACTGGACATTGTGACTGTAAGATAGTCTCAACATCAGTTAGCTATCCTACCCGTCATCACTCTGCCCTAATTTCTCCGTTCTTTCACTTCTTGACACCGTTCATCAGCCCACACTCCAGAACCTGCATGACGACAGTCATTTTAAAATATCACCACTAAAAGTCTACTTCAATTTAATGGATCATAAGGCTGGAGTGTGAATATTCAGTGTGTGCGGCTGCCGCCTGGAGATTTAATCCGGTGCTGCATAATTGATGGAGAGACACTGGAAAACTCACAGATCATTAAATGTGATAGCAGATTTGCCAAACACTTTTCAGAATAGTTTATGCTCAATGTCCTGTCGGGGCTATATGTTTTGCAGGGAGACAGCTCCTGAAAACTGGGAATGATGGTGATCATCATCACGAGGCATACTTTGTGTTTTAACATTTTCTTCCGAACACTGTTACTGACTCACTCAGGCACACGTTTCAACACAATGGCTGTGAAGTCCTTAGACATTATATTTCCCAACACTTTAAATCTTCAAGAATCTTTAAATGATTGCGACTTAAATGGGTCCATCCAAAAACTGTTTTATTTGGATTTATAATGAGTAATTAATAGCTTCTTTTAACTTACCCACAAGTCCCCAGAGAGCAATATTGTAATATTGTAATAAACCTTTGTTTCCTGAGCCTTTGGAAACTGATGCTTGTCAAACTCTCGGCTTGCATATCTGCAGCATATGGTGTGTGAGCAAAGCATGTGAGGTAGACACAGTCCCAAGTAGATGTTAGATTATCAGAAACAAAAGAAAACAATACATGTTTTTACTTTTGTGAACTTTGGTCTCTGTGTAGTTAAACATGACAGAATGACTCAATCATTTCAGATTTTGCATGATGCATTGTGTTATTCATTGATTGATTAAGTTTATGATTCCCAAAGCTAAACTGATTTAAAGTGTGGACAGAAGTTATTCTTTTCAATAATACCACATTCAAAATATAACTAAATGAAGAGAACTTGTGCAACACACTTTTATAGATGACTAAAAAAAATGAAAACAACTGAACAATGAACCTTTTTTTTTTTTTCTTGTTTGAGATCCAAACAAAGTCATCTTCAAGCATCCTTTCTGTTACATCACACTTTGTCTCAAAAAACACATATCTGCATATGAACAGTGGGAATGTGTATTTAACAAACAAGATTATAGTACATGAAGCTTTAGTTTTGTGGTTGTAATCAGTTTGAGTTCTACTGACCCTTCATGTTTGAGCACGCTCACCAGGTGGCAAACAAAAGAGCGAGTCCATTTACTAAAATACTAAACCATCAATTGTCATCAGACAACAATTTTGCACAAACTTTTTGATCTTCAGGTCTGCCTGATCTGTTTTCAATGCTTACTAGAAAAAAAAAATATGCATATTTTTTTCCAACCTCTTGCTTATTGTCCTCTGCAGAAAATATAAAAACATGTTTTCTATAAATTCATAATGAGAAATGTGGTTGTCAAAAATGGTGGGACTGAATGGTCGTCGTGCCAACACATGAGCCAACCCACATGGCTGTGGTGCAACTGGGGCCAAAGGGAATGGTGGGAGTTACTCATGTGCGTTTTATTTCATATGCCACCCACAAACTAGTCCTGCTCAGGAGATGTTCCTGATGTAAATCCTGTTCTAGGCCCAGTAGCAACAAAAAGAAGCACAGACTTCCACATCAAATGCAGACACATGTGACGGTGCTGATTAACCTTCCCGTCATGTTCAGGTCAAATCTGACCAATTTACAACTTAAAACACTCATAAATACTGTGTTTTATATCTGATTCCCTCAAGGCCTTATCCTCCACACTATGCACATATAAAAGAAAAATGTGCTCTCAACACACAGTAGAACTGTGACTGTGAGATATAGCACATTGTGACGTGTTGGGAGCGGCTATCTCCCATCATGCCTTGGGAACATGTGTTGCCAGTTAAGACGATTAAACTGTACTTGCATTTGTTTTGGCTACGTAACTCTTATGACCGTTCCTGCTAATATTCTGGTGTAAATTCACTGATAGTTGTTGTTTTGATAGAAAGAGAAAATATTACACCATGAGTGAGTCCATGTGTGGGGTTATTGACCCTCTGAAGCACAGTGTAACACAGTGAACTGTTCAATAAAAAACTCCCCCTTGCTGCATGGGGTAGAATAACAGGCTCAGCCTTTGGGTGAGTTCTTTGTTGTTAAGATTCCTCAGCTTGCCACAATATTGTACTGAAGGTAGAGATTCAAAGACCTGATAATGTAGCAGGTCCACCAGAGCAGTAGGTGGATGAAACAGGAAGTTTTGGCTCCAATGTCTGCCTTTTGAGGCTAAAGTTGGAGGACTAGCTGATGAGTTCCCAGCATGCATCACAGTCAGACCTCAAAATGAACACTATTATAATAATTTTCATCATATCCAGTATCAATGGCAGACTAAACAGCAGAAATATTATTGTCAATTTAAAATAATTGCAATAATAACCTCATTAACTCAGAATCAGAGTTGTTGTGTTTTAGTTTCAGTATTCGTTTTAATCTTTTTTAGTAACACATTTCTAAACTGCTGTTTTTTAATGTTCAGAAAATGTATCATAAAAGAAAAAGAAAAATCTGAAGGTATGTCTACATGACTTACAGTCAGTTACTAAGTCAAATGAATATGAAGTTACAGCATTCCCAACTCTCCTGACTTTTCACATCCCTGCATCCATGCAACCTTACCTGGATCTTGATTGGCCAGCTGAAGTTGGACACATACACGTAGAAGGTGATGTTGTGGTGAAGTCTGAAGTTAAACTTTTCACTCGAGAAACTGTCACGGTGCTCTTTAATGTTCATCCTCGCTATGATGGGCATCTCCTCACCTGAGATGGTTCCAGCTGAGAGGAACAGAAAAAGGTTAAAAAACGAATACGAGTTTTCTTCTATTTTAACAACAACCGCTCGTGGCTTGTGGTGATAATTGTTTTCAATAACCAGTTTTCAGCAAACACATGTATTAGCAGTTTATAACAGTCCATGAGAAGAGATAAAAGGAACAAAATTTGCCTTCAAAGTCAAAAACCTTCTTGGGTGACAACAAGCCTTAGTACCTGCATTTGTAAAAATACATGGCCATGCATACGTAAAGCTGTTAGCAGCACATTTCAATGATATTAAATGGGACCTTTGTGTCTGTGGCATTGAATTTGTTTCAGGGCCACCAAGAGGTGGAGATCAGGACTTGTTTTTAAGAAGAAGAGAGGCTTTCTATTTATATTAAAGACACCATCAAAGGACTGAAAAAAAAGGTTTATTTAGTGTAATTTTATAGTTTCCTATAAATGTTATATTTTTTAAAAAATAGATGAAAAAGCCCTAAAAAAAAGAAGAAAAAAGAAGGTTTTTCTGGCATAAAGTAATACCATTTTTTTAAGGCCCCATTTAACAAATTGTTAAGTTCGCATTAGCCAAATATCCTTTGAGTGGATGACTGAAACTTTGCCGGTAACATACAATTGTTTTTGTGGAGTTCTTTCCAGCACACCTGTCTCTCCTGTAGATATTTTGAATGAAGTTGATCAGATACATTTCATAATAACTCAAATCACAATGGAAATTACACAGATTTTGACAAAACACTTGTTATAACTTCTGAAAACAAAGACATATGAAGACCAGTGTCATGTCAGCCTGGAGAGTACAGCTCTGTTTTACAGCGGTAAAAACTTTCTCCCTTTTTCCTACTTCATACTCAGCAGCCACATGAGAACACCACAATGAGCTGCCCATCAGCAAGGCTGTTTTCAATCCAAATGTCCTTGTAAAGATAAATTTAAAACAAAAACTGGTAATTGGACAGGTTGAGCGAAAACAGCGTGAATTTTAAAATGCCAAGGCGTGCCTTTCATCTCAAGCAGGCAAATTAACATTCACAGCAAAAGCATTATCATGACACCTTGCAGTAATTCACAGTGAGCCTGTAAATTCCTCGCAGCACTGAAGAGGTCTGATTTCAGGATCCTTCGGAGCATCATCAGCAGTTCTGTGTTAATGGCTGAGTTTTCAGATGGTGTGAATAATATATTTCCACCTCCTGCTTTATCGAGGGCCATTAAACACTCTGCAATAGTCTGAAGACAATCACACACACACAAAGCGCAGAGTCCCAAAATGACTAAGCTGTGGGCCCCAAGATCCCAAGAGTGAGAAAGTGCTTTTATCTTAATTGGAATCAGGAGGGAAAGCGTCTAAAATACCCTAATGCCAAAATTCTGAATATCTTCTGATGTGTTTTGTCAGGAGGGGGAATCCCTGCAAGGCAAGCAGGAAGTGGAGGTGACCATTTTTGGACAAATCCTGACTGTGCGATAACATTACAGACTGACAGCTAAATAAGAGCTTTGGAGACAGACTGGACCACTGTATCACAACATCGACATAGACGAGAACTGACAAAAGATTTCAATGGAAAGATGTCTAAAATTAAGGGAGTTCTTTAAATGTGTCTTTAAAGTGTTTCCAATTATTTTGGCCGATTAGATCTATGCACAGTGTAAACGTGAGCAGCAACAAAGCTAACAAGCTAACAGGAGAGTCACGAGCTTGTCTCCTGCCCAGGGCTCTGCGGGACTAATATATATATTTTTATTAATTCAAAAAAAGAAATGAAAGTAATTAAAAATAGTTAGCTGAAGTCCTAATGCCAAGCACACACTGTGCTCAGAGAGAGTCCTGAGTCAAGCACTAATCAGCTAAAATCAGTAACATTACTAAAGCTTCTATGCTAACCCTGTAGGCACTTTGATTCTTTTATTAGGGCCTTCATGAAACTGCTGTGTTTATTAAAAATGTCCTACAAAATTAATCACATTTTTTTTCCTCTTAACATCTTAAATTGCTTGAAAACTCTCTGAAATTTGCACACATGACTAAACTGGTGTATGTATATATATATGTATATATAT